TATCTGCAAGACATGTAAGAGCTACATACAATCGAACAGTTTCTGATGAACCAGATGAAGACGGACGTGGGACTGATTCGATGCCAAGGAGTCACATATGCCATATTATCCAGGTGGACACAAGGAATGGCTGCTTGCCAAAAAGTGTGCGATGTGATCGAAACGTTCTGCGGCATAAATTTTGGTACGACGGAGCAACATATTCAGGGGCGCCGACTACATGGGTGCTCGGGGGCTCGAGCACCCACGAGACCTAAATAGACTTAAAAACTGATAATCCTCTCTAGTTCCTAGAAAACTGGTTAATTTTGTACCTCGGGTTCCTAAAATCTGGTTAACCAAATGTCAAAATAGTTACCGGCCATCGGATGTCGGTTCTGTTGGTTTTATCAAGGTTTTATCTGTAACTTCTGTCAATTATGTTTTATTTCCATATTTGCGTTCCTCAAAGTAACCGGAACATCTGTTGACCGATTCGGTTACTTTAGCTCTGTTCCAGCAGACATGAAAACCTTTCTAGAACGGTAATTTCCAGTCGATCAATCCATTTGTCAATTAGGAAAAACGTTCAACTTATTGAAACATAGGTGGGCAACTGGAAATTATTGGTTCTAGAACGGTTCTCATGTCTGTTGGAACAGAGCTAATTGTTAACGTTTGGTTATATTTGGACCATAGCCTTATATAGGTTATGTTCCGATATTAACTCTGTCAGTACTGAATTTACTGGACGCCGTTCCGATATTATTTTCAGTAGGTACACGGTACACTGAATTCAGTCGATTCAGTACTGAATGACCACAAGAGTACCCTGTTGAAATTGGAACGGCAAATGACAGTTAAATCAACACAGTAAATCCAGTACTGGCAGTTGATATCAGAACATGGTGGTACTTTATTTAGAAGAAGAAGAAAATCAGAAATCTTTTATGAAAAACAGCGTAAAACGCAGATGTTCGGTACATGCTGCTTGGAAAGAATATCTGCAGGAGAGTTTTCCACACTTTACAGTAGAGTGTTTTCACAGCTATCAGACCAATACCTACCTCTACCATGTAAAAACTCCCCTCCAGCACAGCCATCATACCACCAAAGTTCGCCTTACGAGTCTAACACTATGGAAAGAATGCGGATAAAAAAATTGCAACATTGCCTATTTGACTTCCAATAAGAAATACCTTAATATTTATTTATATTATACACCTACATTTATAAAGAAAAAGTAATATTCAAAAACGTTGCACGCTCGTCTATGACAGGCAGCATAAAGCTCGAAATGAATGGCGTTATGTCCTCTTGCTCTTCAGACGTCGTAGTGCTAGATTCGTAAGGCGGACTTTACCCACCTCCACTGTACCCCCTTCCGTGAAGCTCCTACCCTGAGGAGGCACTTTTTACCCACCTGCACTGTAAACCCTCTTCCGTAAAGTCCTCCATTAGTCTATTTTCAAAAGGCTGTTACCCTGAGATGGCACTTTATTATATCCCTTCACTTTCTTGAAAACTAAAGAATATTTAACCAATTCTTCCATTTGTATTCGAATTCGTCAATTTTGGGGTTGGTCCGGGTCAAATCCACAAAATTTCAGATCAAAAGCGCCGCAGATCTAGAGATTTTCCCACGGTATCGAAAAACTTCCCAGGCTCGAGTGCCCCCGGCTATCAGACTAATACCCACCTCTACTACGTAAGTGGTCCATCAGATTCACAAGCAAAATGTTATTATTGCAATAAAATTAATCTCATGCAGTTTAGAACACTATTGACGAATACAAATGCAGGAATAGTTCAAATATTCTTTAGTTTTCAAGAAGTGAGGGATATGGAAAGAGGTACCTCTTCAGAGTAGAAGCTTTTTGACGTCGTGGAGGTGGGTATTGCTGTGATAGCTGTGAGGTGGGTATTGGTCATAAACAGGTGCACTAATTTTATTGCAATAATAAATATTTTGCTTGTGAATCTGTTAGTCTGATAGCTGGGGCACTTGAGCCTAGGAAGTTTTTCGATACCGTGGGAAAATCTCTAGATCGGCGGCGCCTTTTGAAAATAGATTAATGGTGGGCTATGATGACTATGCTGGAGGGGGGCTTTTACGTGGTAGTAGTGGGTATTGTTCTGATAGCTGTGAAAACACTCTACTCTTTACCCTTATAGCCGTCCTTTTTTTCCAATTTTAGCAGACACCGCAAAAAACTTACATAAGCACCAAGCAACACTAGTTCCCGCAGCTGGAAAACGAATATGGAAAGGTGTGAATTACGTTGTTTGAAATGTATTACCATTCCCTTCTTAGACACTCGTCCGAATGTAAATTAAAGAATGCTGGTAAACGTTTTTGGGCGTGGCTTCTGGAGAAGTCACCGGTGGGCTGTTCACCCCCCCGGTGCATGAACATCAGCATCCACGAGGTTTTCTAAAACCCCGCGCCCCTGAACATATTGACAGCAGGGACAGCAAATTTAGATGAGACGATGAGAATATGAAAAAGATGTTAGAATGATTTCGCAACCATCCACCTTTCTTGCTCTCTAAAGATATAATATCCATCGGTACAGGGGTCATCGGAGATGCTAAAAGAATTACTTTCTACATGGCTGAAGAACATAGCGTCGAAAGAATGGAGGACGTTAAGACAGATGATGAGGGACTGTCAGGTACAAGAGAAGTAATGGAGTGTTACCTCTAGCAGTTGTCAGTACTGCACTTGTAATTGAGGACCGGCCTGTTCCTATAAAACATCTCTACCTTGGATCATGAAACACTGAATGTGATAGATGGTGGAGTCCTGTTACACTGAGTTGTATGACCATTAAACTGAAGTTTCTTCCGTGATATCAGTCGTAGCTACATCCATTACGTTGAGTGCAAGTACAAGTGGAAGAGCGAGGCCGTCCACCTTGTACGATCCGAGAATTTGCAAGTTTTATACCCCTTCTTCACGCCATCAGTGGGTATGCGATTCCACCTCTTCGTTTTATAATCAGGGGAAAATAAAATATTTGAAAACCTTGCGAAAGGATACTAAGCTCCTAAAAAAGATAGAGGTTTTCTGATCCCGATGCCCAAAGAATGCATTGATTGATGCGGGTGCACTTTATTATTTCTTTGCATGAATCCTCCCCCTACAGCACCACATTGGATAGATTGAGATACAAACACTATGTTACAGCACCGTACAAAAGTAACTGTAACATGGCAATGCTCCCTCCAATGAGTTCTGCAGCACAACACCATATATTTCGTAGGTATCACCAAGTGCAAGTATGGCTGGAGAATCCATGTGAACCCACCCTATGGGGATGGAAGAAAGCAAGAAATGGACTATTCCCAATTTTGACGAATCTCCCACCAGCTCCGTCAGAGCTACTGGCCAAAATTTAGTGTGGGTGCAAAAAAAAATTGCACACGGCTGCAGACGTCTGGGGCTTATCTGCACCAGCATCTACAGATTCTGTGAAAGAAGATGCAACAATGCAGATCGTGTTGATTTGTTGGAAGAGGCAGAGCAGCGGAGCGGCTAGAGACCAACGATGTTGAAATCACTCCTGAAACCGAGAACAATGAAGGTAAGAAAACATGGAAGTATGAAGTTAAAAGGATCTTATGTGATCAGTTCTTCTTAGTGTGCAATTCTTTTGGTAAGTTTTCAACTTTCCTTCAACTCTGTGAATTGCTCGCTTTCCCAACCCAACCACGAAACTTTATGAGGGACTCACAAATGTTCACTAGAACCATGACCATCCACCCACGTCCAGCAGCTCCAAGAGAGACTTAGTGAACGCAGATATTCTTCTACACAGTCTCTCAGTATGCATTCCTTCACTATTTATCACTTGAATTACATACTTTAAAACCCTCGACTTTGGTCCACCAGCTCGAAATTACGCAAACTTTGGTTTATTCCCGGCGCTCGAGCAGTCAAGAACTTCGAATAATAGAGACAGAACTATAAGAAATTCAATAAATAAGAAATAAAGTGCAAAAAAAAATCATGTGCAGCGTCGTACACATGATAGAAGTGAAACTTCTTAAAACTATCCCCCCTTTATACAACGAAGTACCACACAAAAGGGAGACACGCATCTGTAGTGACGTCACAAGGTTATCGGCGCCTAACAATATTAGGCAATCCCCTTTGCTTATAATCCTTGGTTTGTGTCAATCGCTCGTCGACTGTCATTGTCATTACCTGTCTTTCTATGTCATTGAACTAAACAAACACTCTGAAACGGGCGCATTGCTTTATGTTAGTGTGTCGAATTTTGATATATGCAACCCAGCAATACAGAGGGATTGTTGTCTCGCTCGCACTCATTACGATTAACGTAAAAGAAAGAAGAGCTTCTTCATCTTTCTAGCCTCAATGATCTAAACACTTCAAACAGCTGTTCTCAATAGCCGCTATAGTACAGACAGAGATGCAAGTCCCACTTGTTTGTTGTCCTTCCTGGCACAAACCTTTGCGTTAGAAACATTATGCAGCCACCGTTCCAGTGTGTTTGTTTAGGTCATTGTTGTATGTCTCTTTACGTTATATCTTTCTTCTCTCTCGTGTAACGAACTACTTTTTGTCCAACATGTTCCAACATCATACCGGAAATTTTTCAAAAAATAATTTGATGTATCACCAAGTAACATTTTCCGAGTTACTGGCTTTGAAAATTGATATTTTCTTAATTAAAAAAAGACATAATATAATTAAAAAACAAGATGGCATTCCTTTACTAATTGGCGAAACGAGAAACTATTAAAATTAACGATATCCCTGCTCTAGATGTAATAAAATTATTTTAATATTTTTTTTTCGAAAAGTGGATCCCTTTTAATTAAAAGGCCTATACATGCGAGATACAACTTCATTAAAATTGAAATTTCCCCCTTTTCCCTTATAGCCTTTAACGTGTTAATTACTGCCACACGATGGCAAAATGATTTATGTTTTTCATTAAAATTTAATTTATTTAATAAGGCCAGTTTCTCCATTACTTAAGTGCAATTACCTGGGTCCATTGTTGTTATTGACGGGCATCGGGGTTGGTACCCTTGGCGGCGCCACCGGTACCGGGGTGGCCCGGCGTTTGGTGGAGCGAAACTGACGGTGGGCGCCTTCCATTATCTAAAAATCGAAAAACTTTTCAACAAACACAAGGAAAACAGAATCGAGCAGAAATCGATAATAAAATCTAATAATAGCGGTTCATTCACTGGAAATGGATTTTATGAGGTTCTATTCTCGTAACTCGTCCGGAGTATATCATATTTTAATTGTAAACATATTTTGCTTTGAAGGCTGCCAATGGGTCGAGAGGTACCACCCATGAGGAATTACGGCTTGAGAATTTTCAATCTTGGTTATTTGTTTTTAAGAGGGGGGCACTGGATCGTAGAAAATATTTAAACTAATGCGGCACATCCTGTATATAGGGTGATTCGTTAATGTGACACGAAAATTTAAGGTTAGAATCTCATTTGTTCCAGAAGTAAATTTGACCAATAAATGTAAAAAAATTCTTAGAAATGTAAGACATTCGTCTAATATTGTAAATTTCTTTTTTAGAACTTGAGACAATCCATACAGACGTTTGATATAATTTTTGATACATTAGAAATAGGTATCATAGTTGTCTAGAAAAATACAGTTTTCTGGTAAGTCCGATAATACATTCAGATATTTCCTTTCAAATGTAAGACAAAGTATGAATATTTTAGAGACAATTTCGTAGTAATTTCAAACACTCTCCTTTTTCTTACATTTTCAACATCTTTTTTAGAAATTTAAGACAATTCTCTTATAAATTTATAGTTTTTTTTTTGAAATTTCAAGACGTTCGTCTGGTAGTTTTGGAAGCTTTAATTAAAACTTGAAGATAGTTGTCTGCTTAATTGAAATAATTCTAAGAAGTTTTAAAAGACAATTCAAAATTTAAGATAGTCGTCTGATAAATTTAGACAATTTGTTTCAAAAATAGAAGACGGCATCTGATAATTTGGTATTATTATCATATATTGTAACCCAGAAAAGTTGTCTTGAAAATTGGGATTTTTTCAGAAATAATTGAAGATTATTGTCTTATAAATTAAAGAGTTTTTAAAGCACTCGTCTAATGATATTATAAACTTTTTTTGGAATTTGAGACAATCTATACAGATGTTCGATAATTTTTGATAACATAGAAATACAACAGTTGTCTATAGAAAATTTGAACACTTCCTGAAAAATCTAAGACAGTTGTGACGAGTTTAATACATTCAGATATATCCTTGAAAATTCAATATCGTCTTATAAATTTAGACAATAAATAAAGTTCCTGTTAACTTAACAGGGACTAGACAATCGGTCTATTAGCTCATCAAAGTTAAAAGATAAACAAAAGTGGATGTTTCGGGGTTTCGAAAGGGGTTCGCGATCCCTTCCTAATAGACGGCCGAAAAAGGGACAAAGGCAATGCGGGAAAAATTATTTTATGGGTAAATGAGCTCGGCAAATAGACACGTAAATCAACTAATAAAAGGGCTGACACAAAATCAACAATTCCATCAACGACGACGTTCTAGGATTTATGCAACATATGCAAAATAGCGTGTTGTTCAAGGCCTAAAATTTACCGTAACGGTATTTCTTCATCAAGATAAACTCATCTGTATGTGTGTGTGTAATGTTATGTGTGACATACGCTAATGAACTGACACGGTCGAGTAGATTAAAAAGAATTACCAAAATGCTCAATGTTTATTTGCTTTTCGCGGTCCAATGGATATGATCATAATATTTATTTTAGGCTCGGAAATTATAAATACTTTTAGTATTTTTGATGATAAGTTTGTTTGGAAATAAGAGATTCATCAAAAACTACTTTTTGAATAGTGATGATAATTTCTTATATTAATACCGACACAGATTTCCTTCAAATACCATCATCCCCTTGTAAAAAGTCGTAAATATTATGACTCACTCCCTCAGGATCAAATTCCTGTGTACTAGTATCCACTAATAATCAAATGACATTTGTTATACGCCCAAAAAGGGGTTGCACTTTAATGGATATTTATCCCCGATGCTGGATGCAGGCTCATGCGGCGAGAGAGGGCTATTTTCTGCTTTTTAGCGCTGTAAAAAGGGGGAAATTAGAGGTGTATCGCGTATCAGAGACATCCCTAATATACATTTATTTCACTGTCAAGAAGGGTGGATGTTTTTTATTCATTCCAACAAGAAATTGCAAAACTGATTGACTTCACGGCTGATTTTTCCCACTTTTCCGTCTACTATTTTTCATCCCTCCTACCTATTTTGAATGGGACAAAAGGGTCACTGAACAGGAACAGATGGGGCCTGAATGGAGCCTAGTCATAGGCAGGCCTAACATTTTATATTGCCATTCAACCAGAGTTGAATAGTGCGTCGATTTCGATTAGCAAGCTTAGGTACATAGATTTTGAACTGAAATGTTCTGGAATTAGAATTAGTTTTCAATAAATATTTTGTTTTCATTACTTGAATTGGAAAATATTTCCAGGTTTAGAGGTTTCAAGAGAATTGAGTTTGAAGTTTTTGACTAAAATTCAACTTTGCTCAAAATGTATTTGTAACACCCTGTATATGGTTGCTTCTTCAAGATCATCAAGCATTCATAATTTTGATTTTTGACTATTTGAAAATTTTTAATATCCAATAAAAAAACATAGTCTTTCTTATATGATAAAACCAAAGTTCAATTCTCTTTGCCTCCTTATGTAAAACGATAGAGATAAAAGTCTGGTAAGACAATAAAGGAAACCCATAAAAGTGTAACGGAAATAACGAAAATTAAAGTACCCAACTTAATGAGGCTACAAAAGCTCCGAAACCAATCGGTATTATGACGACATTGTTGGGCTTTAAAGTTATCCAATTTTATAATAATTCAACCTTGCTCTTGTAAATTACTGGAACAGACTCGAATAAATCATCTTTTAACTGCTAGAAAGTGATAAAAATAGACTTCAAAAGGCGCCTCGCTTCACATTGCTTCTCTAATTTACCCTAAAATTAGGCAGTTTTTGTGCTTTATGTGCAATTTACATTCAATTTTAAGAGTTTGCGAAATTATAATATTATAAAGTTGACGGTTTAAGTACACACGAAATGTCTCAATCCATCACTTTGTGCCAAATAGATTTTTGCTTGCATTAAAAATTGGAACACGCCATAAATAACTCGCGTTGGAATAATTAATTACCTGCCTTGTGGTGTAAAATAATGGTCAAATGCCTGTATATGGCGGCGAAATTATCTAATTAAAGATTTACTTTATTAATCTGTATTATCCAACAGAACTGGAACAAGAAAATATTTCTGGAACTTTATAAAAGTGTAATTTGTTTTTGAACTAATCTAGGACAATTTTCAATGCAGTACAAGTTTTCAATTCATTATTAGAATTTGTAACATCCAGCTACTTTCAATTTTTCCTTGAGTATAAGAACAGCATTTTCTGAAAATTATGAAAAATTATATCTCTAATTATTGTATCATAGATACAAATCTGACATTTTCAAAAAATCTTATTCTACTGAAAGACTACAAACCCTGAAAATTTCAGCTTTCTATCTATGATAGAAAAAAAATTATTGTTTTGCAAAATTTTATAAAATCTAAATCATAAGGTAGCTAGCTACCTTAGTACTGAAATATTAAAATTTCAAATTTTTCTGTGTTGAGATTTTGTGCCTAAATCACTGGCGTAGCCAGGGGGGGGGCAAGGGGGCATTTGCCCCCCCCCCCAAGACCCTTACATTTTATGAATATTTCTTCAAAATTAAGATAAACAGTCCCAAAAATAGCGTAAAGAAACCTGAAAAAGGGGCGTGGCACCCAAAAATTTCGCGCCTGCGGCGCTAAGCCTCCGGCAGCGGTCGCGGTATTGCCGCAAAAGACGCTTCCTGCAAATTTGCCCCCCCCAAGACAAAATCCTGGCTACGCCACTGGCCTAAATGATCATTCGGGACCCATCAAACTCCATACACTAAATTATTCTGAGATTTGAAGCAGAAATCTATGAAAAAAGGCATTCAGAAAAATATTAAAATTAATTTTACACCAAATTGCTTAACGGGATTTTTGTTCTGAAACTATAAGTCCAAATGAACTGAAATTTTCAGGGATTCAAAATTTTCAAAAATCCAGATCATAAGGTTAGTACTAAAATGATGAAATTTCAAATTTTATGTTGGGATTTTGCGTTTATATGATCAGTTGGGATCTAAACTCCATACACTAAATTATTCTGAGATTTGAAGCCAAAATCTATGAAAAAAGGCACTCAGAAAATTGAAAAATTGATAAATTTACCCCAAATTGCTTAACGCGATTTTATTTCTAGATCTATAAATCCAAATGAGCTGAGATTTCCAGGCATTGTAGTCCTCCACCGGGATAAGAATCGCTGGAAATGTCAGCTTCCTATTTATAATAGAAAAAAAGTTATGGATCTTCAAAGTTTTTAAAAATCCAAATCATACTTAGTACAAAAATGATGAAATTTCAATTTTTTTCATGTTGAAATATTACGTTTATAATATGATCAGTTGGGACCCCTAAACTCCATACACTAAATTAATCTGAGCTTTGGAGCAGAAATCCATGAAAAAAGACACTCGGGTATATTTATCAATTTTTCAATATCCCAAGTTGCTTAACGCGATTTTATATCTGGAACAGTAAAGTCAAAATGACCTGAAATTTCAGGGATTGTAGTCTTCTAATAAGAATCGTTGAAAATTTCAACTGTCTATCTGTAATGGAAAGAAAGTCACGGGTCTTCAAAGTTTTAAAAAATCGAAATCATAAGATATCTACGTTAGTACTAAGATAATGAAAATTCAATTTTTTTTTTAAGTTAAGATTTTGTGTATAAATGATCATTCGGAACTCCCCAAACTCCATACACTAAGTTATTCTGAGATTTGGAGCTAGATTCTATGGAAAAAGGCACGCAGAAAAATTGAAAAATTGATAAATCACCCTAATTTGCTTAACGCGATTTTATTTCTGAAACCATAAGTCCAAATGAGCTGAAATTTTTAGGGATTGTAGTTCTCTACTGTGATGGAAATCGCTAGAAATTTCAGCTT